CCTTCCTTCCTTCCTTCCTTCCTTCCTTCCTTCCTTCCTTCCTTCCTTCCTTCCTTCCTTCTTTTTTTGTTTTTTAAGAGCCAGCTACGTGCCAAGGCCTGTCCTACTTGTTGAGGACACAAAGGTGAACAGCATTCTGGCCCTGCAGCTCAGCCTTCCAGGTGCTTGCAGAAAGGTAGAGGAGACCTAAAACATTCACAGAAAATTTCAGTTCATTGCGGCGAACAGAGATAGGAAAGTACATGGAGACAGCTCTGGTGTTGAAAAGTGGTCCTCACAGAGAAGGAGAATGTTTAAAGATGAAAAGCAGTTCACCAGGCAGATTGTTGGAGGGATTCCCACTGGGATTCCAGACCGAGGGTGCATCATGTGCAAAGGCGCTGAAGCAATAACCTGACACATCCAGGCTTCCAATAGTACTTCCTTGGAGCTAGAGCGTGACAGGCAAGTTTGTTACCTGGAGTCATAGAACCTGAGCTGAGCTAGGAACCACCAGACACATGTATTTTAGAGAGATGACTTTGAGGGGAAGAAAATTGATATAGGAGAGGCCAAGTGACCTCCGCTAAGGGATTGTCAGTGCATTTGGGAAGTTTGAAGGTGTGATTGAGAGGCCTGGGGGTTGACTGGGGCTGAGAATGAAAGAGGGAAGTCGGGTTGACCTGCGGGTTTTTGGCCTGGATGGCTGAGTGGAAGATGCCAGGTTCTGCCTTGTAATGCTGTCTGAGATGAAGATAGTGGGCGGATCGTTAGATATACAGGTCTGAGATCAGATGAGGGGTCTGTATAGTGAGATGGATTTGGGGGTCCACTCTGTTAAGGAGATGAGTAAGAAAGTAGTGAAATCTTACAGTGAGTAGTGTGGGGCAAGGAGAAAATTGTGCTGAGGGTAGAAACCCAGATCCTAGAGTCATAAAATGTGCATGTGGAAGCTTAAGATTGGAGAGGTCGTGAAGGAAGTATGGTTCCAGGAGTCCCAGGCATGGTGTGCAGACTGAGTGAAGGAAGACAGACTCAGGCCAGGAGCGGCTCTGCCATCACAGGGAGCAGTGACAGTGGGGTGAAGAGGCCAGTGAAAGCTGAATGTTTAGAAGGAGGTTGGGGGAGAGAGCAGATACTGACTGAAACTTGATCTAGGCTGAGTGTATGAGCCGTTTGGGGGTGATGTTACTTCTCCAGAGACACCTAGAAAAGGAAATAGAATGGACTGAAGAAAGAACTCTGATGGGGCTGGAGCCGAAACCTGCGCTGGAAGTGAGGGTGACTGAAGGACGGCAAGCGCCTTAAAGCCCTATCAGATGAATTGTATGAAACGAAGCCGGGCATCTGTAGCTTTGGTTTCTGGGTGGTAATAACGACAACCAGCACTTATGTAATGCTTGTTACGTGCAAGCGCCGTTCCCCAGATTGATCCTCTGAGGTAGGAAATATTGTTACAGCCATTTCGCAGATGAGGAAACTGAGCTACAAGAGTCAGTGACTTGCCCAAAGCTTCACAGCTGGTAGGTGGAGGAGCTAAACCCAGGTGTCCAATTACAGTTGCCGTGCTTTCCTACTGCCTCTCCTGAGAGCCTCTCCAGTGTAATCAGGAAAACAAAACACAACTTTTTTTTTTTTAAGCATTTGAGTGGATTGTGTGAGCATGTTATGTGGCAGTGATGGCTAGAAGAGGAAAGCGTTCAGGACTGCAGACTCTCCTATCACCCCCAGAGTGCCTCCTTTTTTTGGTTTGAGTCCGCTTTCCTGAAAGTGCAAAAGGTCCCCTGATGTATCAGGCAGTGTCCAGCAGGAAACCAGAAACTCTGTAGAACTTAAGTCAGAGAGGGCTTTCATGCGGGGCATTGATTACAAAGACACTGGCAGGCCCGAAGGTGCCAAGGTGAGAAAGAAGTGTCAGCCAGAGATCGTAAAGCTGCTCTCACCCTGGGCTGAAGCTCCTACTTGTCAGAATGCTCCTGGAGGTGCCTTCACTTCTGTCAAGTAGAAACCTAGGATGCTGGATGCCCATCACCACCGCTGGAGTCACACGTTGTCACCCTCCATTGCCTGCTACTGTTGCTGCCCCCATCAGAAGCTCCATGAAAAGTCTGCTGCTTTCCTCTTGTCTCCCAATCTTCCTCCAGAATGTCCCACAGTCATAACTTAATAGTAAGCCAGCTGGCAAGAGAGAGTCTGGGAAATGTCGTTTACAGATTTACAGCCTGAGGGGCAGAGTAGAGCTGAGAGCACCAATGACAGGCAGAGGTGGAAACTGGCTTCTTTCGAATACCACAGTCAGCCTGTTCTCTGGAGGTCCACTTTGGTGTGAATTGAGTGTCATTCTGGTTATAAAAACACAGACCTCTTAGAAACTTCAGTTTTATGTATGTGCTGGTTATAGGTAGCCTGCTGGTTCCCCCACTTGGCTGGACATGTATTTAAGTAACCACAGAGTTGTGATATTTGAAAACCTTCCAGGGTCTCAGTTGTTTTAACTTCTCATTTAAGAATTCAGTAGATTTTTCAGCAAAGGTTTACTATTGAGGTACTTGGCACTATTTTTTGAAACTACTCAAATAGAATGATACATATCTATGAAAATTCTTAAATTCTAATGCTACACAGTTAGAATTGGCATTGAGGGAGAGATTGCTCACAGTAGCAAAAAAAATTAAATATTTGAATATCCGTTTAATAAAAGAGTTTTTTTCCCTGCAAAGAAAATAGCATGAGCCTAATGGAGGAAATGAAGTGAATAATGAGATGTAACTTCCTCCCGGCTAAAAGAGTAATTATATAAAGACATTTCTTAAATTAATATATAAATTTATTATCATAGTAATAGGTGCCTATATTACATATAACTTCACATTTAACTAGTTGCTTAAGACAGCAGTTTACTTCTCCATCACATAACAGTTTAGAAGCAGGCAGCCTGAGGTGGAATGGCGCCTCTGCCCTTGGAGTTGTCCAGGGACCCAGGCCCCTTCTCTTTTGTCGCTCCACCATCCTTTAGGTGATGTGTTCTCTGTGTGTGTGAGAGTGGCTCATCGTGTGTCAATATTTCAACCAGCAGGAAGCGGAATAAGGGGAAAAGGGAGTATGCCAAGGAAGGCACCCTGGAAATTATACAAGTCTCTGCTGCTCATATCCCATTGGTCAGAACTTAGTCCCAAGACCATACCTAGCTCCAAGGGAGGATGGGAAATTAGTCTTTATTCTGGGAAGGCATGTGCCCAGTTAAAAATCCAGAGTTCCGTTAAGTTGAAAGGAAGGGGGAAACTGATTTGGCAGAGAGTTGTGTCAATTTTTTTGTACCTTTTGGAATATTATTTAGAAATTGAAATTTTGAGAATAAAATTAATTCGGAAGAATAGGTAAGCATACCCAAGAATATGTATTTTTTAAGAAAAAATTTTTAATTGCCAAATTTTATTTTTTTCTTAGTGTAACACTTGTCTTCTGTTTTTAGTGTCGAAAACACTTTCTTTTTAAAACTTTTTTTATTGTAGAGAACTTCATATAGAAATATAAGAGTATCAAGAATGGTATAATGAACCCCATGTACCCATCACCTAGATTCAGCTTAAAGCTAGTCTTGTCCCATCTATTCCCCTGCCACATATTTATCCTCTTCCTGATTTTTCGAAGCAGATCTCATTTCTGCTCTTCTACCTGTTAATATTTCCGTATGTATCTCTAAAAGGTAAAGGCTCTTTTTAAAAAATTTGACTTTTGTGGAGAGGAGGGAGGTAGATAGGGGTAAAAGAGGTCAAAGATTTGGTGATGGAAGGAAATCTAACTCGGAGTGGTAAACACACAATGCAGTATATACACGACATACTGTTGAATTGTACACTTGAAATATATTTGATTTTATTAATCAATGTCACTCCAACAATTTTAATTTAAAAAAATGAAAAAATTAGACTTTTTATTTGGGGATAATTGTAGATTCACATGCAGTTGTAAGGAATAATGGTAGCATCTCGCAAAACCATAGTACAATATCACAACTGGGATATTGACATGGATACAAGCAAGATACAGAACATTTTCATCACCACAAGGATCCCTCATGTTGCCTTTTTATGGCCATACCCACCACCCCCTGTGTAACTCCTAACAACTATTAATCTCCATTTCTATCGTTTTGTCATTTCAAGAATGTTCTACAAATGTAATCATACAATATGCAACCTTTTAGTATTTGGCTCAGCATAATTCTTTCTTGATTCATCCATCCGAGTTGTCGCATGTATCAATAGTTTATTCCTCTTTATTACTGAATAGTATCCCTTAGTACGGATATACCACATAATACCTCTTTAAAAACATTATTCTCCTAAACTCGTCCCTTTTTTTCCTCTTCCTATCCTCTTCCCCTTTCTTCACAGCAATGCCAAGTGACTATCACTATGTGAAACTGAAAAGCGATTGCTCAAGACCCTCCCTGCAATGGTACACCCGAGCTCAAAACAAGATGAGAAGACCCAGCTTGTTGTTAAAAGACATCTTCAAGTAAGTACAAGCCCTGGGGCCCTAAGATCCCCCTAATTTGAGTAAACTGTAGAATTGGGAGTAAAACTCAATGAGAGCTCTAACAATGGCTCTCATACTTGGTCAAAGGATCATTTCAGGGCACATCGAGTAGGATTCAGGGCACAGATGCCCTGGGTTTATGTATCAGTCTGTACTTGGTCAGAGTGCAGTACCCAGCCAGGGGGCTGTTGAGGCTCTGTACCCGAGCTTGGACGCCCAAGATGGCAACTCTTCCTGACATTGTTTAACAAAAGAGGACTTTTTCCCTTAGCTCTTTTGAGTTAATCTAAAATATGATTAATTAAACGCCCTTAAAGGCATTTGAATAACATTAAATATTGAATACTAAAAAGGATAATGGGTGTTTCAGCCTCATATTCTAATAAGTGGTAGAATTGTTAAAGGAGGAACTTGTCAGTTTTATTTGTTACCAGCTAAACCAGGTTGAAAATTACCCCTTTTTCATATCTGAAGAAAGAAATGAAGCCTGAAATCTAGTTTCTCATCTCACTTTACTAATTTAGGAGGTATAGATGGAGAAAGGTGCAAAAAAGAAATGTATATTCATAAACACTTACATCACTTTCCATGTCCTTTCAGTCATCAACCGATATTTATTGAGGCCTACATGTGTTGAGTGCTGGCCACATGGCAGCAAATGGAATAGACTTGTGCCCTATGCTCCTTACAGTGTGGGCAGGACACTTAAGACCAGGAGTTACAGTACAGTGGGGTCAGTGCTATAGACGCTGGGTCTGCTTTTAACATCCTTTTACCTTTTCTTAAAATCAAAATAGGGGAATTATTACATGCATTGAATGTAATACCTTTTCTGGGGGCTAGAGAGAGGACTAGACAATACTACATTCCCAAGATTCAAAATTCAGTAGATATTAAAGGTAAAACATCTCTTCATCCACGCTCCCCACATTTCCCATCCCCACTTAAAGATAACCAATATTACCAGTCTTGTGTGTGTAAGAAACACTGTATATGTGTGCCCTCCCTTGCTTTTTTACACAAATGGTAGCATCCTATTAACATTGTACTTGGTCCTAAGGAAAAATTAAGATGCTTGTCTAGGTTTTTATGGGGAGCCTGTTGAAATGAGAATCACTAGCAATATTTTCATGCATCAACATCCTCAAATATTAAGAAATGTTTAATATCTCTTGTGTATAGTATATCATACTAGGTACTATATTTTTTAAAGTACTCCTTTCTTTAAAAAATAGGTTATTTCCCCTTTAAGGTTATTTCTTAACTTTGTTTTTTAACTTTCAGTTTATCACTATTGCTTGGGAACTTATTTAAAATGGGATTTCTAGAATCACAGCTAGACTCAGTTCTTCTCGCCTAATCCCATGTGTGTATGTGCCCATGTGTCTTTTAAACTATATAATAGTGTGACTCTATCAAATCTTTAAAAGCAGTGTTTTTGTAGATGATCTTAAAGATGACTGGTGGTACTATCTCACCTCAGTCAGCCTCATTTCTAGATAGAATTCTTTAAAGGAATAATGAGTACGTTGTTTATTTTCTTTTCCTTTTTTTTTCAAGGACTCACAGTATTTTAACCCTAATTTTTTTTTTTATTGCGGTAAAATACACATAAGATACTATTTGCCGTCTTAACCATTTCTAAGCGTGCAGTTGAGTGATGTTAAATACATTCGCATTGCTGTGCAGCCATCGCACTGTCCGTCCACGGAACTGTTTTCATCTTGTAAAACTGAAACTCTGTACTCATTAAACACTAACTCCCCATTTTCCCTTCTGCTGGCAACCACCATTCTATTTCTGTCCTGTGATTTTGACTACTCTACGTACTTCATATATTGAAATCATACAGTATTTGAAGGATTTGAGAGTATTTTAAAGTGGCAAAAAATTGAAGCTGAGATTCCATATATCAAAATCTCTTACTTGGGTTTTTTTTTTTTTCTTTAAGTCCAGTAATCTGCATTTTGATTCAGATTTTATTATGTTGCCTTTGAGGAAAAGGTTTATTTAATTTTTCCTTGTAACGAAGACAGTCATAAATGACTAAGTTATCTTGTCAGGAATAACAAGTAGTGCCTTGAGTTGACTACTGAGGTCAACTTATAGACTGTACTTTTTGCTTCCTGGCAGACAAATTCAGTTTGGTTTAGGTTTTCATTTATTTCACATGGTCTCTCTTGATTATCACATGACTGCATCATTATATCTAATTGATTTTTTTTCTAGGTGTATACTGCTTGTGTTTGGAGTATGGATCCTTTATATCCTCAAGTTAAATTATACTACTGAAGAATGTGATATGAAAAAAGTGCATTACGTGGATCCTGACCGCGTAAAGGTTAGAAATTCCATTGGTGTGATTTAAAATAAAACATTTCCAAGCATACGCTTAAACAGTACTGTCATCGCATGAAAGTTATAAACAGAAGGGGAAACACTTAGTCTTAGCACTTCAAAACCAGAGTCAGAGACAACCCACCCTAAAAAAAAAACCAACTCAGCCACCTACCCATAGTATCTTTCCCCATTTACTAAAGTCACAGGGTGGGGGGAATTCCATTCAACACTCTCTAGGGTATCTGGCATGTAGTTAATATGCCATGATGCTGCCAACGTACATGTCCTTAAAACAGAATAGGAAGAATCACCTGTCATTCTGTGTTTCATTTTTCTTTTTAATGATTTTACATTGTGTATTTCAAGATTTTCCCCCTTCAATTATATTTCTTTTTTCTGAATAAATTGACATGTGTTAAATGTGCTAATTATTTGAGTGGTTAAATTATCCAATAATGTCCCACCCTGGATGAAAAAGAGATGATTTTAAGTGAAGCAGTATAGTAATAATGGTAACCAAATGTATATAGGTGTTTTACGTGTATTATCTCATTTAGCTATCATCATGACTCGAAGATACCTCCTTATTCTCTCCATTTTAGAGCTGATATTTTAAAGTGGCAAAAAATTGAAGCTGAGATTCCGTATATCAAAATCTCTTACTTGGTTTTTTTTTTTTCTTTAAGTCCAGTAATCTGCATTTTGATTCAGATTTTATTATGTTGCCTTTGAGGAAAAGGTTTATTTAATTTTTCCTTGTAACAAAGACAGTCATAAATGACTAAGTTATCTTGTCAGGAATAACAAGTAGTGCCTTGAGTTGACTACTGAGGTCAACTTATAGACTGTACTTTTTGCTTCCTGGCAGACAAATTCAGTTTGGTTTAGGTTTTCATTTATTTCACATGGTCTCTCTTGATTATCACATGACTGCATCATTATATCTAATTGATTTTTTTTCTAGGTGTATACTGCTTGTGTTTGGAGTATGGATCCTTTATATCCTCAAGTTAAATTATACTACTGAAGAATGTGATATGAAAAAAGTGCATTACGTGGATCCTGACCGCGTAAAGGTTAGAAATTCCATTGGTGTGATTTAAAATAAAACATTTCCAAGCATACGCTTAAACAGTACTGTCATCGCATGAAAGTTATAAACAGAAGGGGAAACACTTAGTCTTAGCACTTCAAAACCAGAGTCAGAGACAACCCACCCTAAAAAAAAAACCAACTCAGCCACCTACCCACAGTATCTTTCCCCATTTACTAAAGTCACAGGGTGGGGGGAATTCCATTCAGCACTCTCTAGGGTATCTGGCGTGTAGTTAATATGCCATGATGCTGCCAACGTACATGTCCTTAAAACAGAATAGGAAGAATCACCTGTCATTCTGTGTTTCATTTTTCTTTTTAATGATTTTACATTGTGTATTTCAAGATTTTCCCCTTCAATTATATTTCTTTTTTCTGAATAAATTGACATGTGTTAAATGTGCTAATTATTTGAGTGGTTAAATTATCCAATAATGTCCCACCCTGGATGAAAAAGAGATGATTTTAAGTGAAGCAGTATAGTAATAATGGTAACCAAATGTATATAGGTGTTTTACGTGTATTATCTCATTTAGCTATCATCATGACTCGAAGATACCTCCTTATTCTCTCCATTTTAGAGCTGATGGCCTGGAGGGTTAAGCTCCTTGCCCAAGCTCCCATCTAGTTTAGTTAACTAGTTTAGTGTATACTGTGTAACTGTCTAAAAGTGCTTTGGTAATACAAACTCATTTAATCCTCCATGTAGGTACAATTATTATCTCCAGCTCACAACTGAGGAAGTGGAGGGGCAAGGAGATGAAGTCACCTGCCCAAGGTTACCTTATATTGTAAGTGGTAGTCAAGGCTTGGACCCAGCAGTGTAGTTTTAAAGTCTGCGCTTCTGATGACTCCAGGTAGGGAGTGTCCACAAAGATGAAGCCAGGAGAGGTAGGCAGCGTGATACAGAGAGGAGAGAACTGAAGCTTCTGACCTAGCTTCAAATATAAATGCCACCTAGTAAAAATGAAACCTTGTGCAAGTTACTTAATTGTTTTGAGACCGAGTATTCTTAGCTGTGAAAGATCGATAACAGCATCTCTGTAGTAGAGTAGTCATCAAAATCGAATAAGATGATATACATGAAGCTCCTTTTGTAATCTTGATTTTTATCCACGTTTCTGAATTAATCTGTCTTAAGTACCTCTAAGTTTTGGTGATATAGACAGGTATAAATAAGTAAATGAAGAGAAATTAATTAATAAATTTACAGCTTAGCCTGTGCAGACCCATTGTGTCTTAAGTGTTTCTGATCACAGAGCCTTGCTGTCCTTGCTGTGTCTGCCCTCAGATGTTCGCTGACTCCGTTCACTTCATCAGCACATCCGCTTTGCTGGAGCCTCTGCTTAGGCTTCCCCTCTCCTCCTGATCTGGCTGGCTTTGTGGACATCCCCGAATCCCTTTCAATTCCAAGGCCTTTCACAGCTCTCTTGGATAAAGTTTTTAAACATCTTTTCTCTTTTTTGTTCCCTGGGAAAGGCCCAAAGGATGACACTTGATATGACTTACTGGTATCTGTGAACTCTTCCCATTATTTCTTTTCTGCACTCTATACGTTCTGTATGCATCCTCTTGTACACCACTGATCACCTGACTAGCTACAAAGATAATTTTTCTCAAATTAGGGTTAATTGAGAAATATGAGCTCTTGTGCAAGAGTTGAGCACATCATTTCACAGGTACAAGATGGAGGAGATATGGTTTACTAACACTTTGGATGAAGTCAACTTAGTGATTTTAGTGCCTAGCCAGTGCTGTCTGCATCCACATGTACCATGGCTGCCTGTGGCCATTTTCCATAAGCTACATTAATAGACCAGGGATTGTTTGCTTGTCTCTGCAGTGTTCAGACAAGTGCTCTGAACATTATAGCCATGACTCCCTAAGGTTCCAAGGAGTCATAGTGACTGCTATGAATGACTAGAGAAGAGATTCGAGACCATGTTCCTAAGGGCCCTTCGAGGGATAGGAACATTTGTGTAGCCTGAAGGACAGACAGTCTAGTGCAGGGCACATAGCAGTTACTGTCAGCAAACCAGAGGCCTTGCCCATCAGAGGATTGCCCGGCCCAGGTGGGCTTAATGACAGAGATGTGGACCAAGGGATGGCAGCCAAGCTGAAAGAAGAGTTTGATGGTCCAAGGCATCCAAAGACGGCATAAATTGGCCACCTTTCTGGCAAATCTCTAGAGGTCTTTAAGCAAAGCCAGGATAACTATTTTGGGAGTCCTATAAGTCACCTCAAATAACAGGTAACCTCAAAATGGTAGGAGGGGTGGAGATGCAAAATGCCGGGGTCCCACAACCATGTGTGGCGATCGAGAATCAGGAGGGCTGTCTTGGCTGCAGAGCCCCCTCCCCCACTAAGGAAATCGAGGAGTCCCGGCTGTACACTGGGCTCTCCAGCGAGGGTTCCAGTGCAGAGAAGAGAAGTCCCCACAACCTGTGGCTGTGAAAACCAGTGGAGGTGGCGGCTGAGTGAGATGGAGGGCTGCGGGAAGCAGAGACCTTCCTTTTAAAGGGCCCGCTCTCAGCCTTACTCCCTAATGGACTCACTTGCTCTGAGCTCCAGGCTGGGGAAGCTGCTCCAGGGGCACCAGAGACATACAGGGAGGCGCTGAGCTGTCAGGCTTCAGGGCAAAGGCTGGAGGTGCAGGCAGAAGCCATTGTTCCTTTGTTGAGCTCTTCTCCCTCCCTCCCATCCTGTAGACACAGGTGCTGTCAACCTGGATAACACAGGTCACTCTGCCCAGGGGATTTCCTGAGACTCTGCTTCTCCCAATTTATAGGCCCAACCACACTATTTCCAGTGATTAATTCCATACAAATGGGCTTTCATGGCTTCTGCTGTGAACTTTTATAAAATCTCTCAAAGGCTCACAAAACTCAAAGAAGCAGCATCTGGTCTTGGCATGTCCTGTACTTCTTTGCTGAGCAGCCTCAAGCCCTGTACCAGTGGCAGCTGGCCTTGGTTTCTGACTTAGCCCTTCGAGGCACCTATAAGCCCAGCATAGGTGGCAGCCAGTGTGGATTGCTAGACTCTTACCAGGTGTCCCCTGAGGTACATAGGCTACAGCTGAACTTGGCCTGTAGCTGGATCCCTCCCAGGACTGTGCCAAGGGGCTCCACAGCACACCTACTACGTAAAGCCACTCTACGAAGACTGGTAAACTTAGAAGCCCTACCTAATACATAGAAACAGACACAGGAAGGCAGCCAAAATGGGGAGACAAAGAAGCATGTCCCACATGAAAGAACAGAACAAACCTCCAGAAAAAGAATTCGTAAAAATGGAGACAAGAAGTATACCAGATGCAGAATTCAAAACACTAGTTATAAGGATGCTCAGGGAACTTAGGGGAAGAGTAGATGAACTCAGTGAGAACTTTAACAAAGAGATAAAAAACATAAAAATGAAGATGGAAAACATAATAGAGAGCCAGTCAGAAATGAAGAATACAGTATCTGAGATGAAGGGTACATTAGAGGGAATCAACAGAGTGGATGAAGTGGGGGATCAAATCAGCGACATAGAGGATGGGATAGCAGAGGACACCCAATCAAAACAGCAACAAGAAAAAAGAATTCAAAAAAATGAGTTTAAGGAACCTCTGGGACATCAAGCATAACAACATTCGCATCATGGGGTACCAGAAGGTGAAGAGAGAGAGCAAGGAATTGAAAACATATTTGAAGAAATAATGACTGAAAACTTCCCTTACCTGGTGAAGGAGATAGACATACAACCTCAGGAAGTTCAGAGAGTCCCAAACAAGATGAACCCAAAGAGGTCCACACCAAGACACATCATAATTAAAATGCTAAAGGTGCCAAAGGTTAAAGACAAAAAGAGAATTTTAAAAGAAGGAAGAGAAAAACAGTTTGTTACATACAAGGGAGACTGTCA